GTAGCCAGAGACAAGAGAGCTTTTGCCTATCACAGTAATTCAACTTTTAAACACAAAAGTCAAAAACAGTTCTAGAGCCAGGTGGGGTGGCAAGAGCTTGGGTTCCCAGTGACTCTGGAGTCTGAGGCAGGGGGATTATGAATTTGAGGCCAGCCTGGGCAACTTGGCAAAACCCTGTCTTTCAAATAGGAAGGGCTAGGTTGGGGACATAGCTCAGTTGGTAGAGTGCTTGTCTCCCATGCACAAGGCCCTGGGTTCAATCCCCTGCATCAACAAAAAAAAAAAAAAAAAAAAAAAAAAAAGAAGAAGAAGAAGAAGTGCTATAGCTGGGCGCAGTGATGAACACCTGTAATCCCAGCAGCTCTGGAGCCTGAGGCAGGAGGATCAAGAATTCAAAGTCAGTCTCAGAATTTATCAAGGCCCTAAGCAACTCAGTGAGACCTTATCTCTAAATTAAATACAAAAAGGTTGGGGATGTGACTCTGGTTTAGTGCCCCTGACTTCAATCTCCAGTATTTAAAAAAAAAAAAAAAAGAAGAGCTGGTGATGTAAATTCAGTGGTAGAACGCACAAATTCAATCCCAGTACAAAAAAAAAGAAGAAAAGAAAAAGAAAGTAAACCAGAGGATTGAGCCCAGAACCTCTCTACCACTGAACTACAACCCCAGCCTATTAAGACAGGATCTAAATTGCCCAGGTTGACCTTGACCTTGAACTTGTGATCCTCCTGCCTCAGCTTCCAGAGTTGCTGTAATTTCAGGCGTGCACCACATTCCCTGCTAAAACTGTATCTTTCTTTTTTTTTTTTTTTTGTGTGTGTGTGTGTGTGTGTGCTGAGGATTGAACCCATAAAACTGTATATTTCTAAAACTGAACTACATATATAGTATTCTTTTTTCCTTTTCCTTCCTTCCTGTTTTCAGATAATAATAATAATAATAATAATAATAATAATAATAATAAATGACCCATATACGATGTTTGGGAAGGGTCCACACAGACTACAGAGTGGAGGTGTGTCCAGAGGGGAATGTGCTACCTTCACTTTAGCTTCATAAACATCTAGGTTGTTTGCACTGGTAAGTTTATGACACCTTGTTTTAAATTAAGTCAGTTGGAGCTGGAGTGGGGAATATTCAGCCTCCAAGCTATAAAAGCACCGCCTTGGACAGCGACTTGGGAGGCTCAGGAATGGGGTGGTCTGATGGTAGACCCGAGCTTCCTGCTCCCCTGGTGCCCACCTCCTTGCTCCCTGAGCCACAGTCCCTTCCCCACCCCATCCCTCTCAGTCTGCATGACTCCACCCTGCCAGCCCAAGAACGGAAGCCACAAAGTAGGGCTGGGCAGTCAGGCGAGAGAAGCCTGGTGAATTTGCTGGGTTTCCTAGCCCAGGGCCACTCCGCAGGTCAACGGCTGGACCACAGGTGGAAGCCTGCAGTCCCCCGCCTTGTCCCTAACCCAGGCTGGGACCCTCGGAATAGAAGGGGTGCTTCAGCTCAGTCCTAGGACGAAATTCGGACCTGGAGCTCCCCCATGAGGCCTGCTGTGTCCTGGGCCCAGGGTTATTTCAGGAGACTGTGCTTCAGGGCGGGCTTCCTTCCTTGGCCCCCACAAGAACCACCACCTCGATAATAAGAATAAGGAGGATGGGAAAAGGAGCCCTCCTGCTGGTTGGCTGCCCACTCTGCTAAGCCCTGTGCAAACACACCTCACGAAATCCCTAAATAAACTATGACATGGGCACTGCTGTTCCTTCCACTCTCCAGAAAAAAGAGGCTCGAGATCCTGCTGGGCTTCATCTAGGCCTAATACCCACATAGTTGTTCTGCACCCAAGCCCGAGAGACCCGGGACCCCCACACCAAGGCCTCCTAGATGGGTGTCTTGAACAGTCCTGGGGTCCTCCCTGACCTGACCAGAGCAGCTCCTCTCTCCAGTTCCTACCCTATTCTCTGAAGGAGCTGGCCTCAGGAGCAACCCTTCCTGCCCCAGAAATGGGGGAGGGGGTCCTAACACATCCACTTCCTGCCTCTTAGCAAAGTTTTGGTTTTCTTTTTGCAGTGCTGGGGGTGGAGCCAGGGCCTTGTGCATGCTAGACATATGCTGGGCAGTGAGCTACATCCCCAGCCCCTCTTAACAAACTGTGCCCTTGAGATTTTTCCCTTCCATGATATTCTGGAAAGAGTCCTAAGAAATCTTCTCACTTGCCACCCCAGTTTCCAATGTACAAAAACCAAAACGAAGATCCAGAGAGCCTATAGGACTTTTTCAAGATTCCCCAGCAGGACCTGCACAGAGGTCTTCGGGAGCCAGGACTGGGGGCTCCCTTGGCAGAGGAGCCCACAGGAGGGGCCTCTGGACATGAGGTCTGAGAGAACAGTTGGCAGGTAGGCACCTGGACACAGGGCTGCACCATAAGCAAGTGCTCCCCAAACCTGGCACAGTGCCCTGGGACGGGGAGGTACCTGGTTCTTCCCAGACATGGCTGCTGTGGTCAGACAGGCCCAGAAGACCCCGGACACCAGTGCCCACTGGTACACGGAAGGCCTGGTCTCTCTCACACACCTGGGCAGACGAAGCTGCAGCAGGAGCTCCCGGCCTGGCCCCAGGCCTCTTAGGAGGCCTTAGGCTGTGAGGCTCACCAGGCTCAAGACCAGGTTCAGGTGCAAGTCGACAGACAGGTCCCTAGCAAGTCTGCTGAGGGGCAAAGGATCTAAGGTGTGGACAGAAACAGAGGTCCAAAATAGGGACTCGTGCCTAGGTGTCCCCCTACTCCTTAGGGATGTGGGGCGGCTCCTGCCCCCACCCCCGCCACTTACCTTCCAGCAGCCGCAGGGTCTGCAGTGATGAAGGAAGGGGCTCCTCAGTTTCATTTTCAGAGAGCCTTCAGCAGACCCCAGACAGAGGCCAGACCTGTCAGGGGCCATCTTCACATGCCCGAAGGAAGTGGTTCTCGCCCCCTCCTACCAGAGTACCACTCCAGGAAGACACTATTTGAACCAACCCAACAGTAAACACCCCACCCAGGGGAAGGGCCAGGCCACAGAAGCCTGTGTGCTCTAGGTCAGCATATCCTGGGAGCATGGAGGTGGAAAAGGAGGCAGTCACCCAGAGAGTGAGAGAACACTGAGTTCCAATCCCATCAGAACCAGCGGCAGCCTGGGCCTTAGGCACCTAGGATGAGGCCATGAGAGGGGAGACCACTCATGGGGCAGAGATACTGCTGTCCCTCTGTCACCACCAAGGCAGGTCAAAGCCAGCTGAGGGAGGACAACCCCATTTAAATGACAGCTCCCAGCCAGGCACAATGGTGCATGCCTGTAATCCCAGTGACTCAGGAGGCTGAGGCAGGAGGATCACAAGTTTGAGGCCAGCCTTAGCAACTCAGCAAGACCTTGTCTCAAAATTTAAAAAAAAAAAAAAACTTACTAAAAAGGACTAGGAATATGGCTCAGTGAGTGGTAAAGTGCCCTGGGTTCAATCACCAGTACCAAAACAAGAGTCCTACATATCAAGTACTATGTTCTAAGCCCCAGGGGCCGGGGTAGGAGTACAGCTCAATGGGAAAGTGCTTCCTAACATGCACAAGGCCCTGGGTTCAGTCCTCCGGCCCCCAAACAACCCCCAAACAATAAGCCCCAGGGGCAGTTCAATGTCTGAGCTCTACAATCTGGTGAGATTAGGTATTTTAATAGCTTTTATAGATGATGAAACGGCCCCAGCAGGAAATGGAGGAAGAATGAGGCCCCTCTGGACCTGGAAATCCCCACAGCCGCCCCCACCCCGCCATGTTTCATCCCACCCTCACCTCTGCCCTGCACCTGCTTGGGGACCTTCACCACTTCCAGGCCAGGGGATATGGTTACGTTACCAGCCTGTTCCCAGCTCAGGGCCCCCTTCCTCTCCCCACCCATGCGAAGCCTTCTGGGCTTGCCTGGCACTGGGGGTGTGGGGGAGAGGGTGCCAAGGTTGTGGGGCCAGAGCCAGGCCTCCAGCGTCTCCCAAGAAGGCAGGGGTGGGGGGAGATGCATGGGGTCACCTTCAGCTCTTGGCATGACTGGGCATATCATTTGTGGGTTCCAATGCAAAATGAAGATATAAGGCCCCTTGGGTAAAAAATTACCAAGAATTTCAAGTTGGCAACAGCAGGGATTAAGCTAGGCTAAGTATGGGCTCTGGGTGACTGTGCGGGTCCCATCTAAGAGGGGCCTGATCCCTGGATCTGAGAGCTAGCACCCCAGGGCTCCATCCTTTAGTTTCCTGGTCTCCCTATGATGTAAGGGGCAGGCCAAGCCCTTGAGGGCTCCTCCCAGCCCCTGGTACAGGCATGGCCTTGGGCCTAGCTCTCAGGCCTGACTGCATCTTGGCCCAGCCATCTCCTGGCTGTCTGGCTTCAGCCAAGTGGCGGCCTCATCTGTGAGGCAGGTAAAACCCAGCCAACTCCAGGAGTGGCTTCATACCCCCACTGACGGCTGGTTGGGGGTGGGTCTGCTGTTCCCACTTCACAGCTTCGGAAAGTGAAGCTCAAGGGCGGAAAGGCCCCAACCTCAGGCCAGGCCCAGCCTCACTTCTGGGCAGCTCCCCACTGCTGCCTGCTTTTCTGTTCCACAAAGGGACAAGACTAGACTTAACAGGAATTTAAGCGGCAAAATCGCTGGAATTTGGCCCACGGGCCAGGAAGGCAACACAGGGTGGAGGCACTTCCTTCCCACCTCGGTCCTCTCTGGCCCTGGCTTTGCCCCTGCAGAGCAGGGGTCCCAAAGAGGCCTCTGACTTGGAGCCAGCTTCCTGGGCCAACAGAGTCATGGGGCCAGACACTGAGGAGACCTGGCCGGTGGGACAGGGGCAGGACTGGCACTGCTAGCAGACACACACAGGCAGCCCAGCTAGCTGCGAGCCTAGGAGGGCCACGGACAGGAGCAGCCCCCAAAGGCACAGCTTAGGGGATTTCATCAGGGAGAGAAGCCCCAGACCCCACCCAAGACACATCACCACAAGAGACAGGGTCCAGAAAACGCGTTTACCCGTACGCTCCAGAGAGGCCCTGGCAATCACTGCCCAAAGGCCCCTGCACCAAGAAACCCCAGGCTGTGGGCTGCCTCAACAGGGCCACCAGCCCAAGAATGTGGCACCATAGGCAGCTGGGGTGGGTAAAGGAAGGACCAGGACTGGCATAAGGTCATGATGCTGGTGAGTGAGGGGGCCACTGGCCCCAGGGCAAAGGACACTTGAGAGACCTGGTGGTGGGATGAACCCCAAAATGAAGACATGGATTCCTCAGGAATGGGGGTGGGAGAGAAAGCTCCTCCCCTTCCCCCTCAAGTCATGAGACAAGAGATGGCTCCGAGTATCCCCAGGCCGGGGTAGGAAGGATCCCTAGGTGCACTGGCATGTGGCAGGAGGCAAGAGTCATAAATCACATGTTCTTGATGGAGTGTGGTGGCCTGGGATGGGACGCAGGCCTTCGGAGGCATGACAGCCAGCCAGCCGGCACCGGGGACTACTGGGGCTGCCAGGACGGGTGGGCAAACACAATGGGCCTCTTCTTGGCCCAACGAGAGAACACGGCCTTCTCGGTGATGAAGCGGTGGGCACTCCGGGGCGCCTGCTCGTGCGCCAGGTACATCTGACACTCGTCCAGCCGGCCCTTCTCGAAGTAGTGGTAAGGCACCGAGGGGTGGCTCTTCTCCCTGTGGGGTGGGGAAGGAGGCCCGTGTGGGACAGGCATGGGGCACCAGAACTGCCTGCCTCCCGTGACCACTCCTCCCTAGGTGTTGTGGGCCCACGGAGACCCATGCCTGGTCCCAGGGGAGCCCACCCCAGATAGGGGAGGAGCAGGGCAGCTCATGGAACCCAAAGGCCAGGATTCAAAGCCCAGGATGCCTCTCACAAGCTGAGCGACTCTGGGTCACAAATACACCTTGTGAATCTCAACAGCCCATCTGCAAAATGGAGATGGTGACACCCATCTTCCAGGACAAGGGTGCCGATCAAGGGATGAAGACAGCAAAGTGCTCTGCTGGTGCTGGGCTCACAGGCAGGGCCAGAGGCGCAGTGCGGCCAGCCCCGCACACCCACCTGCCCAGGGGCACCATGCAGGCCAGCAGTTGGGCCAGGGCCTTGGCAGGGGCACTTGGACTTCTGTCATTCCCCCCTCATGCTCAACAAACGAATCCCAAAGAGAACAGAGGGAGAATACCCTTCCTGAGCTCATCAGTGATGGTGACATTGAAATACAGTAATGTAACAGTGCTATCCAACACTATTATAATCTGCATCAGAACTTAATATTATGATGTTGAAACTATCAAGAATAGAAACTTGCCTGTGACATATGGCTGATACACATTATTTAACATATATACACATTTTATACTGTTTGTGGTGGGGCTGGGGTTTGAACCCAGGATATCACCCATGCTCAGCAAGGGTTCCACCTCTATTTTCTCAATTTTATACCTGAATAGGTGGAAGCTCTGGGAGAGGCGGAACAGCCCGAGGCTACACTGGCAGCTGGGATCAGTGTCCACTCTGTCCAGAGGCTGCCCTGAGGCCTGAGGCCCTGGGGTGTCTGTGCCTTGGACACCCATTATGAAGCCCCCACAGCTCCTAGGCCTTCTGCAGGGGCCCAGAGTCCTCCCTGCTCCCTTCCCACCCAGGCCAGCTGCTCTGACCTGCAGTAGCTGTCGCTGACCATCCCGTAGACCACGATCTCCTCACACAGCTCCAGGGCCAGGATCATGGTGAACCAGCCGGTGCTGAGAAAAGAGCCAGACTGCCTCCTGGGGAGGCGGGAGCACTGTCAGCTGGCCCCTCCGACACCCATACACTCAGAGCGGCAGCACTGTTACCCTCCCAGCCAAGGGCCACGCACCTGGACCTCTAGAGAGGCCCAGGAAAGGGCAGAGCCAGCCTGAGGCCAGCAGTGGGCAGGGGACAAGGCTGAACAAGCCCACGTCTGTTCAACCTCACCACCCAAGCTGGGCCTGAACAAACCCAGGATGATGGTCCTCTCATCTAGAGGATCAGGCTGGGGAGACAGCAGGGGGCAGCAGAGCATGGTGGGTAAAAGTGGAGGAGAAACAGTCTGTACAGACTTATGCTGCCGGTGATGCAAATGAGAGAAATGAGAGCTGAGGACAGGTGGCGGCAAGGACTGAATTCACTGGGGGGGGGGGGGAGGTGCGCGGAGGAGACCAGCAAGGGGCCACTTGCAAAGGCAGGAAAGGATGGTGGCCTGGGTCAAGGTCATACCCAAGGGCGTGGGAGGAGATTAAAGAGCCAAATATAGTGGCAGGGGGCAGCATGAGGTGACTCAGAGGCAAAGCCCAAGTTTCTATCTGAACCACTGGAGGCCGACAGCTCCATTTCCTAAGCTGAGCCGGTGGAGTTACAAGGGCTCTTCTGGGTGATGGACAAAATGAGATTTTGGATGCGGAGTGCTTAGCCAGGTGCATGAAGATGGCTTATATTACTGTAATTGGTACATTTATTATCTGGAAGGAAGCTCAGAGACCAACTGAGACCTCAGAACAACCCCTCCAGAGGGCAGCAGCGCCCCCTAACATCTCTCCAGCCAATGTCTCCATCAAATGTCCCCAAGCTCCAGTGCCTCTCACTACCACGGGCTTCAGGATCTGGATGAACATTTGATGACTGACAGCTCCTGCACCTCCAGCCCCCCATTAGAGGGCAGGGCTAGACTGCCCCCATCACGGCTGACACCCCCCCCCCCTACCGCCGGCCCAGGCTCACCGGTTCTTTCCAGTCTCATCTTGAAAGATCTGGTCGCAGTACGCCATCATGCGCTCGGTGAAGGTGTATATCTGCAGGCCTGGGTACATCCTGGTGAGCTGCAGCAGTGTGCGGTAGGTGCGGCCCCCCAGGGCCCGGTCCATGTGCTTGCCTTGGCCCCAAACCACATACAGAGTGTCGCGGGCCTGCTGGAAATAGTGCGAGTAGTTGCGCAACAGCAGCGGCACGCTCGTGTGCGAGATCACGCGCAGGGTGCTGCGCCGGCCCACGTCCACTTCAAAGCCCGTGGTGGGCGCCTGGTTCATGCGCAGTACACACTCGGCCCCGTCGATCTGGGCACCCAAGCCGGAGCCGAGCATCTGGCCGGAGCTGGACACCACCGCACAGCTGCGGCAAGGCTCATGGATGAGTGGCTGCAGGTGGAGGTAGAGAAAAGGAGGGAGGTTCAGACACAGGGCTTCCTGCACCTGCTACTCCCCCAGCCCAAGGACTGATCTAAACCCCTCTGGCAGGCTGGGCAAATGAAGTGACTTTCCCAGGGTCACACTGACAGCAAGTGACTGAGCTAAGATTCCACATTCAGAGTCCAGGATCAGCCATATCTGTCTCTGTTGCTCTTCTTAATGTCCTAAAGTCCATACATCAGAAGTGCCTTATTAGGATTACAGGAGCAAATATTTATAGAGCAATAGAACAGTCTCTGGCCACACTGGATGTCATAAAGTATTAAGTAAACATGAACCTCAGTTCTTCAGAATCACTCTTGGGTCCTCCTCCCCTGCCTGAGTCGACCCACAGGGTATCCAGTTTATAAGTAAAAGAAGTCTTTAATGCCCACTAGCTCTGGGAATCCTGGTTCCACCTCTTCCTGGCTGTGGGGCCTCAGGCAAGCCTCTGGCCTCAATTTCCTCATCTCTAAAATGGGGATGAAAACACCTAATTGACCCTCTTGTGAACAGGACTGGAAAATGCCTGGAGGAAACAAGCTGGAAATGCGGATGAAGGAAGAAGTAAGGACAGCTGCCCGGAGTGGGAGTGGGGACGGATGCCGCAGGGTGAAAATATTTTGTAATGTCTAAATCCCTGCCCCCAAACTCTGTCAAACTTCTGGAAATCAAGGTGGGGGTGTAGCTCAGTGGTAAAAGACCTGCCAGGTGTGCAAGAAAAAACTTATGAAAAGCAGCCCAGAGAGGGCTACAAAAGGGCTTGTGAGGGGCTGAGGTTGTGGCTTAGTGGTAGTGCACTTACCTGGCACACATGAGGCACTGGGTTCACCTCAGCACCACATAAAAATAAAATAAAGATACAATTAAAAAATAAATATTGTGAGAGTGACTAGGGAGGCTGAGCCAGGAGGATTGCAAGTTCAAGGCCTGCCTCTGCAATTTAGAGAGGCCCTTAGCAATTTAGCAAGACCCTGTCTCAAAATAAAAAAAAATAAAGGACTGGGGATGTAGTTCAGTGGTAGTACACCCTTGGTTCAATCCCCAGCACCTCAAAAAAAGGAGGTGCTGGGGAAGCTGGGGGGATGACAGAAAATTTCTATGTCACTATGGTTGTTACTACATTCCTTTATACATTTGTCAAAACTTATTGAATTTTACACTTTAAAACTGGTTAATTTTGTTGTATGAGATTACATATCTCAATAAAGTTGATAAAGAATTTTTTTTTAGTGATTTGCACTAGACCCAAGTCACAGCTCAGCCACAAGCCCGGAGATATTCATGGGGGTCAAGGGACAGGTCTCCCAGAAAAGGGTCTGCGAACCCAGTTCCTCCATGCCTTTCTGGGGGGACCTGGGTTTAAAGAGCCATATAAAGGACTTGGGAACATTAATTCCAGTCAATAAAAGACACACTGTTGAATCCTGCTTGGGGAAATTTTATATTTGACCAGGTATTGATTTGAAGACCTGTAGGCCCATTTTCTGTGACACATGGTTTTCTTACTCTTCCCTCAGTGTGGGCTTGTCCTGACTGTTGGGCATTCTTCCTCAAAGGGTCTTTAAAATTTTTTAAACTTCTAACATATAAAAAAATGCCCTTTTCCTGGGCGCAGTGGCGCACACCTGTCATCCCAGCAGCCTGGGAGGCTGAGACAGGAGGATTGTTCAAAGCCATCCTCAGCAAAACCAAGGCACTAAGCAGCTCAGTGAGACCCTGTCTTTAAATAAAATACAAAATAGGGCTGGGCATGTGGCTCAGTGGTGGAGTGCCCCTGAGTTCAATCCCTGGTAACCTGCCACCCCCACCCCCCAAACAGCCCTTTTGACATTCAAAATCTGGACTTCCCATTTCTCTTAAGAAAAACAGAGAGCTGGATGCAGTGGTGCATGCCTGTAATCCCAGCAACTCAGGAGGCTGAGGCACGAGGATCATAAATTCCCGTCCAGCCTGGGAAACTTATCGAGGCCTAAAGTGATTTGGGAGACACTGTCTCAAAATAAAAAGTAAGCCAGGTGTGGTGGCCCATGCCTATAATCCCAACAGCTCGGGAGGCTGAAGCAGGAGACCCTAAGCAACTTAGTGAGACCCTCTCTCTGAATAAAAAATAAAAAGGGCTGGGGACGTGGCTCAATGGTAAGGCACCCCTGGGTTCAATCCCTAGCAGCAACCCCCAACCCCACCCCAAACACAAAGAGGAAATGAAAGAGAGAATCTGGCTTCCCTGGGTCAAGTCCCCGTGAGGGTGTAAATGTCTGAAATGACTTTGGCCGCCAAGATGGTAAATGGGACAGCATCTACCCAGCCTACCCCAGCATTTATCTCACCTGGCTACTCCTGGGGAACCCAAGACCTTGTACCTACCAGTTACCTTGTTTCTTCAACAACAAAAAATACTTGGGATTGAATCAGGGGTGCTTAACCACTGAGCCACATGCCCAGCCCTCTTTTATTTAGAGACAGGGTCTCACTGAGTTGCTTAGGGATTAGGGCCTTGCTAAGTTGCTGAGGCTAGGTTTGAACTCTTGATCCTCCTACTCTCGATCCTCCTGCCTCAGCCTCCCGAAACACTGGGATTATGGGCGTGTGCCACTATGCGCAGCTCAAATATTTTTTTAAAATGCCTTTTCTTTTCCTTTCCTTTTTTGCAGCAGTGGGCTGTATCCCGGGATCCTGCATATCCCAGGCGGTGCTCTCCTATGGAGCCACGCCCTCGGCCCTCCTCAGATATTTACCTGGACCTGTTCTGCCCACTGGGCATCATCCTGCTGGATCTCACAGCATCCCCACAAAGGTAGGAAGTGTCACCATCATCTTTTACAGGTGAGGGTGCTACTGAGACTCAGAGGGATGGGGACCTGAAACACAGCTCCAAGCCAGGGTTCCTGAGCATACCCTCCCCCAACACACCAAGAGCCACCAGCCACAGAACCGGGGCCTTCTGTACCACAAATCAGCACAGGATACCTTTAGGCAGGATGAGAAACCTACCCCATGGGGCCTCTGAAATCAGGGCAAGGCGTGTGAAATGCCCTGAATCTTGCCAAACAGAGCAAGCGTGGGGAGGTGGGCACCACAGGCAGGGGCCACATTGCCTTGTCACCCCTGAGCCCAGTGTCCCTATCCCCCCAGAGAGGAAGCCCTGGGGTTGGACATATCTTTACCTGTGTCATCTCTATCCTCAGCCACCATTGGCATCAGGCTAGACACACTGCTCGGGCCAAGTACATGCTTGTTGAGTGGCGAGTGTGCAGATATATTGAAGGTGTGCAGACTGCATGTACCACAGCATGCAAGGCCCGTGTCCGGCTCCCCTACCAGACTGCAGCACCAGTGGCAGCCACCCTATCGGATGTGACTTTTCATCCCAGCATCCAGCTGGGAGCAGCCGGGCAATATGTGCTTACTAAAGCCCATTTCCTCTTGGAACTTGGGGCTCAGAGGGTGAAGTGGCTAGCCAAGAGCACACGGTTGGTGAGCAGAGGAGCCAAGCTCGGGGTCCAGGCTGGCCTAGCACAAGCCTGGCTCTCCCTGTTCCCAGAGTTGGGGGCACCCTGGCAGCTTCAGCCAGACCTGCCCCACCACGTTGCCTGCCTGACTCACCTTCCCATCTGGCACGCTGCTATAGCCACTGAAGTGCAGGGGCCCCGGCACCGTGGGCCTGGAGCTCAGAGGTGGGGGGCGGTCCTCCAGGCAGGTCGTCAGGCAGAGGGGCAGGCAGGCCCAGCAGCACAGGAGGACGTAGACAGCAGAGAAGGCCAAGGAGCATAGGATGATGAGCAGAAGGCGATCCTGGGGAGACAGTGGTCATGGGGAATGGGGGGGGGGGGTACTTGGGCCTCCCAGATCTAGACCCCACTTCAACAGCCCCGAGAATTCCCAGTCTCTATAAACCAGGCCTTCCTCAGAGGTGCCAGGTTCTGGGCACATGAAGCCATGGAAATAACTTTAGCATCCTATTCTTAGGTAAGGAAACCAATTTGGGTTGAAGATAGAATTCAAGTTCAAGGCCACACAGCAAAGAGGCAGCAGGGTGCAGGTGGGGGACACTTCACGTTTCAACCTGATGCTTGGGTGCACTGTGCAGCCTTGGGTATGAGTCTCCATCCCTCTGGCCCAGGGTGGCCTTCATGGCTCCATGCCATCCCCACCCCCATCCGACTCAGGGGGCAACCCCCTAGCTGATGATCAGGCTGGGGATCCGTAGTCCAGGTGGCAGAGGGGGACTTCAGAGAAACACTACTCAAGAAATGCTTTCAGTACTTGGAGAGCTGCTGCCCGGGACACTCCACCCCTAGAAACCAAGTGCCAGAGGCTATTTGAACCAGGAAGTCCTTCCAGCCCTCTAATCTAGCCTGGTCTGGGGCCAGCCCTGTTGGCCCACTCAGTGAAAGCCCCCTTGAAGCCTTCCAGGAGCTGCTGCCTGGTGGGGGACAGGATCCTCCAACTGCCATTGTGTGCTGGCCCATCCTGGTCAACATGTGTCTCTCGGGCTCTCATTTTCCAGGCCCTATGCCACCCCTCACAAAGCAGCTGCTGGTTCTCTCTGGAAAGCAGAGTGGGAAAGCAGCCCCTGTCAGCCCCCAGGCACATCCTGCCAGAGGTCTACCCTTTCTTTTCTGCCCAAAGTCACATCAGTTTCTAAAAATAAATCTCCTCTGCGGCCAGCTGTTCAGGGGATAGGATTTAGTCTGTGAGGGTTCAGGCTCTGCCGAACACCTGGTCCCCTGTTCACAAGGGACCAAAGACCCAGAGACCTTGACTCACTCAGTTTGGCAGCTGAGCTTAACATCCCCATCACTCAGGTCTCTCCCCACAACCAGGTACCCCCATTAAAGAGAGAGCAGCAGACCTGAACTTTCCCACACTAGCTCACTCATGGGTGGACCCCATGTGGGTGACCATGTAGTACTATTACCTCCATTTTATGGGCGAGGAGAGCAAGATACTGAAACCAAAAAGGGGATATCATTTGCCTGGATCACACCATCTCCAAGAGCAGAGCTGGGCTCTGAGGCCAGTCACCCTTCTCCTCTGCTCAGGAACAGTGTGGTCAGAGTCACCACCAGGGTCTGGGGTGTGGCTTAGTGGTGGAGGCTAAGTCCTTGGTGTGCCCAAGACCCTGGTCCAATCCTGAGCACCTTCTCCAAAAGTGACCATCATTCTTGGCATGGGAAAGCTGCTGAGGCTACTCTGTGGCAAGGTACCTCAAGTCCCCAGGAGCCCTTCCAAGCCACTTACCCGAGCCTTCATACTGTCACTGGCTGTCAGCAGTCGGGAGGCTGCTGTCTCCAGGGCTTGGGCTGGAAAGGGGTGTGAGCCCGGCACCTGCCAAGACCCAGAAACTCAGAACAGGGAAGGGATAGTGGACAGGGTCCCGAGAAACTGAGGCAGAAGAGGGTCCAGGCCGGGGTCAAGGCAAATGGAGTTGAGGTATCAAATGCCTTAAAGTCTCAAAAATTCGGACCTCAGCGTCCCACCCTAAAGGAGCTAGAATCCGAGACCTTCGAGAGACCTCCCACCAAGCCAATCCCCAGTGTGCAGATGAGGAAGGAGAGGCAGCGAGGAGATGCTCCCGACTCAAGGTCACCCATCAGGTCGGAGGCACATGGAGTCAGGAGCTGGAATTCCTGCCCATCCATCCTACCTCCCTACCCGGGGACGATGGAGAGGCCTGGGACCGGCACGACTGGGACTTCCACCCCTCAAGATTCCCCGCCCCCTCCCCCGTCCGAGCGCTAACCGGGCGGGCAGTTTAGGGCTCTCCGGAGGCTCCCGGTTCGGTGCGCGCAGATCCATGTCCCGCGGGCCGGGCCGGCCGGGCTGGAAGCCGGGGCCCCGGGCGGAGGCGGCGCCGCGGCCGCAGCTCCTGGAGGCTGGGAGCCCAACCAGCGCGGCCGGGGCGGAGGCGGGGCCTGCGGGGACGGGGCGGAGACTGTGCGCCCGGGGCGGGGTCTAAGAGCGCGCCCGGCGCGACCTGGGGCGGGGCCAGCGGCGCGGGCGGGGTGTGCGTGGCCGCCCACACGGCCTCCGGGTGAGGGCGGGGCGCCCGCATCGCGGCTTTTATCTGGATTTCTGCTTCTGCCCCTTTGGTCCTCCCGCATTCCCACCGTCCCGTGCCCGGGCGCTGGACAGAGGAAAGAGACCCGGAGGGTGTCGAGCCACGGTGCGGTGGCTGCCTGGCGGCCTGGCGGTTCAGACTTGAGTTTCCGCCGCTGGGGGTGGGGGCCAAGGAAATTAAGCAGGGCTGCAGGTCAGGAGCCTGCCTTTCAAGTTGGTAATGTTGCCAGTAAAATGTAAGAAGCCCAGTTAAATTGGAATTTAGTTAAACAACGAAGAAGCGAATTGTTTTTAATATAATTGATCGTGACCCGGTGACCCTCACCTGAGCCTGTGTAAAGTAGAAATGTGAGACCGAATGAGCCAGGATTGGAACTGCGGGAGGCTTCCCTCCAGAGCAGGTCTCCAGAGAGGCACCTCCCAGAGTTCTTTTCCCTAGTGCCTGTGAGTCCCTTTAATTCAGTCTCATCTGAACTGTGTCCTATTTGAAGGCTCAGATCGCATCCCATAAGGATCTCAAATGCAGATGACTTCAGGGGCCCGACTGAAGGGGCAGGTATGGGGCCAAGGGGGCGGGGTAGGCCTCCTGCAAAGTGGAACACACAGGTCCCAAGATCTTTTTTTCTTAAAAGTTGCATTTGGGCAAAATGGATAGAGTGCTTACCTAGCATGCACAGGGCCCTGGGTTCCATCCCAGCAAGCAGAAAACAAACAGTGATAAAAAAAACCTCACCTAACCATCCCAGCCAAGCCCACCTACCTGCTTTGGGGCACTGGCCTGGGAACCAGCCTGGTTTCCTCTCTGGACCCCATTTTAGAGTCCATTTTCCATTTTCTCAGAGGCTTGGGGTTGGGCAGGAAGCCAGAAGGTCCATCCCCAGCACAGCAACCTTCCAGGTCTACCTGCTCCAGGTGCAAGGCCAATCCCCCCTCCCCCCACAGGCTCCCAAGCCTTTCTCTATTTTGTTCAGGGGCAGGGAGGGTGACTCAAGTGGTGCTGATCCTGGAAGTTCCCTTTGAGCACAAGCCCTCCTTTTTCCGCCCAGCAGAGCTTGGCCCCTCAGTAACACAGTAGTCCCCAAAGTCAGAGCCCTTCTGCCTTCCAAATCCTAGTCCTTCCAGTTTCTCTGAACACAGACCCAATCCCAAGGGCCTAATGGTGAAAAGTTCACTGTGGATTCATTCATCACGCACAATGACTGGTGAAGCAATGATTCCTTCCTCAGGAGATTTGATAGGGCAACAGAGACACAATGACATGCCCAAATTGCCCAAGCTCCCAGGGTAGATAAGGATCCTAAGTCCATAGAGGAACTGAGATCAGGAAATTTGACAGCCCCAGATGAAACTCTTCAGTTGGGTTTTGGAAGCATCAACCATCCTTACTCCAGACTATAAGCCCTGTACCATGTCAAGGCCTGACTGCCTTTCAGTCACTCTCCCTCCACTCTGGCCATCCTCTGACACACCAGTCACATTGAGCTTCTTCCTATCTCAGGACCTTTGTACTCATGGCATCTTCTACCTGGACTTCTTATCACATGGCTGGTTGACTTTTTTCGTAATACTTGTCACACTCTGAAATTTCTCTGTATTAATCGGTTTCTTTATTTATGGCCCCTGTGCCCACTAGATTCTCCTCTCTGACCTGTCATGTTCTCAGGGACATCTCCAGCTCAGCACAGTGTCTGGCACATACTAGGAGCACCTAAATGTCTGTTAAATGAACAAAAGAGGTCAGGAGTCGTGGTCCCATGAGAACCTGGACAATTCACTCCCCCACCCCTGCAGCTGAGTGCCCCGTCAAGACGCACTGCAGGGCTGGCCATCACTCTGCAGGACAACAGGGCTCTGTGCTCTTGGTCAGCCCCGTCGGATCCAGACCGGAGGAAATGTGGCAGCTGACCCCAGTTCCTGCCAACACCCGGCTTCCCTAAGCTTCCCTGACCCATCACCTCCCGACTGATAGGAGAACTTAACAGCTCTGCAGCCCAACTTCCTGCTGGGCAGGAGTAAGGAATTCCGTGGTTCATGGCAGCTCAGAGAGGTTGAGTCATGACCCAAGGCCACCCAGACAATAGCAGTGATGTCAATATCTTAAAAGTAAATATCCCTGGAACTCATGCTCCCACCATCCGTCTTTGGCTGCATCCAATAGGGCATTGGAATGAAAATATTGGTGTCACTGAGTGACCTTCCGCAGCCTTCCCTAGGGGTCTCACCCACACTCCCCCCACTGTCCCATTTCACCCCCAGGCATTTTCTTTCTGTCATGCTGGGCTTCTCCCATCCCAGGCCCTTTTGTGCTCTTGGCTGGAAACCCCCCCCCCCCAGGAGTCCTCTGACTCTTCTGGTCTCTGTTAAGCCTCCTCCCACATGGAGACTCCTGGCTGCAGCTCCAGGGCCCCTGTGCTTCTCCATGGGGCTTTGTCACAGCAGATTGCTTTTGTCACCCAGACTCTGAGTTCCATGAAGTCATCTTGCTCCATCCCCAGGTTTCCATTGCTCAGCAGAGAGCCTATCCACATGGCAGGTGCTCAATAAATATTTAATGAATTAATGAGGTCCCTTCATCCTTTCCAACTTCACACATTAAACCACTGAGGCACAGAGAGGTTTAGCACCTTGCTCTGGTCACACAGCCTAGAGCAGCTGAAGGAAAGGCCCGCTTGGGCCTGGTTGGATTGGACTGGGGTCAGAGGCCAGGCTGGAGTTTCCTGGAGGAGGGAGAAGGTGTGATATGGGGCTAGGCATGGATCCTAGTAGTATCTGTGCAGTCCAGACCTTTGTTCTGATAACTGACGCTTGCCTCCATTTCACAGATGAGAAAAATGACTCTCAGAGGAGGGCAGAGCTCACTGGAGATAAATGGTGCACTTTTAAAATGTATCCCAGAGCTCCAAGAAGCCCCCTCCCCTGACCTTCTCCCACCTCCGAGGGAGTAAGGCCTGGGTACTCAGGGCTGAACTGGCCACTTACCCCTTCAGGCCTCTGGGCCTCTGTTTCCCCATATGGATGACGAGGGGAAGGGCGTTCAGCCTCCCCCCCTTCCCCGGAGCATGAGGATAGGGCCCGGGAGCCGGTGCCTAAGAATACAGGCTCCCTGGTCCAAAAGGCATGGTGGAGTCCTGGTTCCAGCATTTATTGCTGAATAATCTTGCTCAGTGCCTTCACCCCTGAGCCTTCATTTCATGGTCTGTAAAGAGAGAATAGTGGCATTTTTTGAGGATTAAACGGACTGATTATAGGGAAATCCTCGACGCGACACGGGGCCCAGCACCACCAGCAAAAGGAGCAGAGCTGGTTGGCGGATGCTGCCCTCTGATGGCCATCCGGAGGAACAGCAGGCGGGCTGCCCGGGCCGGCGGGAACCAGCGTTCCTGGCGTGCGCCCATTTCCCGAAAAGGAGAATGAGGCCAGGGGCTGGTCACTCGGTGTGCTCCTCTACCCACTGGCAGAGGCGACGGGCGTAGCGAGCCGGGCTGACGGTGGAGAAGGTCCGGCCCGGGTAGCGCAGCGTCTTCCACAGGTGCTCCAGCCGCTTGCGAAGCCCGTAGACGGTGGCCAGATCCACTAGGCCCAGGAAGTAGCGCTGCTCGGGGCCGTCCAGGATGTGGAGGGCGTTGGGGGCGTCTGGCAGCAGCCGGCGGTTCTGCGCCTCCGGCTCCTCCGGGCCCTGCGCCCCTTGCACAGACCTGGGGTGGGCCAACAGCAGAGTGAGGCTGCCTCCTCCTCCAGGGAGCCCCGGCGTCCCAGCCCCGCTCCCTCCGGCCGCGCCTGGGCCTGTGGCGTCGGGTCAGCTGAGGCCGAGTGAAGGGCAGCCTGCGCCCCGAGCTCCCTGCCCGGCACAGCACTGGCCACACGTGCCCAGAGCACCCGAAATGCAGCCGGCCCCGATGGAGACGAGGGGTTCGTGGAAATCACGTACTGAATTGCCGAGACGGTATGAAAAGAAGAATGTAAACTATTATCGATTTTTATGTTGATCAGATGAAATTGATCAAATTTGGATCAGTGGATGTGTAACCGATGTGATTCTGCAATCTGTATACGGGGTAAAAATGGGAGTTCATAACCCACTTGAATCAAAGTGTGAAATATGATTTATCAAGAACTATGTAATGTTTTGAACAACCAACAATAAAAATTAAAAAAAAAAAAGAAATTGATCAAATTTGGGATGTACTGAGTAAATTATATTGTTAAAATTAATTTCATCTGCCGGAAGCCGTGGTGCACACCTGTCATCCCAGCGTCTCGGGAGGCTGAGGGATCGGAAATTCAAAGCCAGCCTCAGCAAAAGCGAGGCGCTAAGCCACTCAGTGAGACCCTGTCTTTAAGTAAAGGGTTGGGGGTGTGGCTCAGTGGTCAAGTGCCCCTGAGTTTAATCCCCTGTACCAAAAAATAAAATAATAATAATAATAAAGTTCAGGTGCCTTCATTATTTTTGTCTTGGGTAGTGCCAGTCTAGAGCATTTGGGTCACACAGATGCTGGCTCTGAGCTTATGAGCCATGTGACTTTGGGTAAATCCCTTATTTGGGTATTGCCTAAACTGTTTGGGTTATCTAACTCGGGAAGTCTCAGGGCCACAGCTGAAACTTTTCAAACAAAGTACAACAACCCCAGTTTGCAAATGATGTGTGCATGAATTTGCCTCAAAACATATTGCAAATCAGAAGATGTATTTGGAGAGACTACCAGTCCCAGCAGAAGCAGGTTCAATTCCCTAACTTTGTCCTGTGGGGGTCGCTGAGGGGCTTTGTTACTGTCCTATCAGGGCTTGGGGGGGGGGGGGTGATGCCAAAGGAGATAAACCCTGCCAGAGCACCAATCAATCAGGACCGGGGGTTTGAGAGTCCAGGTGAGGTGTACCTGGGGGTGTGGGGCGGTGTGTTTGTTTTCTGAGTGGGGGTGGGAACTGGGGGTGGTGGTGAGAACCAGCATAAAAAAATTTCTATGTAACAATAACCTCAATAACCTTTCTTTCTTTCTTTTTAGTGGTAGATGGACAAAATACCTTTATTTTATTTATTTTTATGAGGTGCTAAGGATCAAACCTAGGGCCTCACATGTGCTAGACAAGTGCTGTACCCCTGAGCCACATGCCCAGCCCAATAACCTTCCTTCCTTCCTTCCTTCCTCCCTCCCTCCCTCCCTTCCTTCCTTCCTTCCTTTCCTTCTTTTTTTGGTACTGGGCATTGAACCCAGGGGTGCTTAACCACTGAGTCACACCCCCAGCCTCCCCCCCACCTTTTTTTTTTTTATCTAGAGACAGGGTCTCACTAAGTTGCTTAGGTCTTTGCTAAGTTGCTGAGGCTGGCACTGAACTCGCCCTCCTCCTGCCTCAGCCTCCCAAGCCACTGTGCACCACCACACCCAGCTGTAACAATAACCTTTCTAAGCAAACCAGGACTTGCTGGCTGAATGCCAGCAGTGGCCTAAGCATCAGCTGCATGTAGAGGGCAAGGAAGGAGCCCACCTGAGCTAGACAGAGAAGGCCCTGTGGCCACAGCAAGCGCCATCTAATCAGGTGGGCCCAGGTGCCTGGGGAGCATCACCCTGGGTTCTGCCTATCCCACCATTCCGAGGTCTTTTTCTAAGGGGCAGGAATGGAGGCTGGAGGAGAGAATCTCGTCTTTCACTTCCCTTGTTCACCCACCAGATCAATGGCTTCGAGTCTTCAAGTGCCTGTTTTAACCTCATGTCATTCCATTCAAGCACAGTGGGGCGGACTGGGGAGAACGACTATCTAATAACTAACCACGAGCCCACAGGTCCTCAGGAGTCATCCCACAATCTGGCTTCCCTCTTTCAGCCTCTGTGTTCACATCTCTAAAATGAGAGCCCAGTCTCAGTGAGGCTCCTGGTTAATATGCAAGGAGTGACAATTATTACTATAAAGGGGGGGGGTGCACAATGATGGTGCCATTGGTGAAGCCCTCAGGGCTGTGGAAAGGGGATGCCTGGGTTAGAGGGTAGGATGCTTCTTTTCTTCCTTCCTTCCTTCCTTCCTTCCTTTCAGTACAGGGGATTGAACCCGGGCCTTGCACATTCTAGTCAAGTGCTCTACCACCAAACCATATTTCTAACCCTTTTTTAAAATTTTGAGATAGTCTTACTAAGTTGCTGAGACTGGCCTAGAGCTAGGGAATCCTCCTACCTCAGCTTCCTGAGCAGCTGGGAGTATAGGCGCGTGCCACCATACCCAGTGGCAAGGACTCTTTCTGTGGCTGAAATTAAACAGGTGTGTCCCCTGGTCTGAAACCTTCAGTGATTCCACATCCCCTGCTGGAAAATGGGCAGACTCTTCAAATCAGTACTGAGTCCCTTGACCAACCGGACCTCATCAGTTATGTCCCTGGCTGTGGTCCACCTGTGCCCCTTGCCTCTACCAGCCTGGCTTCTCTAGCCCCTGCCTTCCATGCACATGCTCACACATACACACACTCACCTGCACACTCGCAGACCCTGCACCTCCCAGTGTCTGAGTCTGTGCCCTGTACAACCAGTGTTCCCACACCTTGCCGTCTGTCTTTCCCACCCTTCTTCTTGCTGTTGCCCTGTGGGGCTCACCTGGCCATGCGGAAGATGAGGCAGCTGCCCTGGCCCCTCTCGTCCTCATGGAGACAATGGAGGGCCATCAGCAGGCTGTAATCCAGCACGTTGAGCTCCCGGAGGAAGGTGGTGTCCAGTTCCATCTGGCGGAGAAGCCAGCTCCGTTGGGGCCCTGAGGAGCATCAGTAACCCCCTGAGCTCTCAGCATAGGCTAGCCACAGGAAGGCAGGTGTCATTACAGTCCCCAATTCACAAATGGGGAAACTCATCTATCATTTTCCTCGGCCACCTAGCTTTGCAAGTTGTGAAGCCAGGATTTGAAACCTGTTCTACTTGACCCCAGAATCTAGGCTCTTAAGGACTCAGGCAAAGGGCAGTGCAGGGACATCTATCTGCAATTCACCCTGGCATAGTCGGTGACCACACCCATGGCTCACCCAGGTTGATGGTCTTGCCCTGAAAGTTGAGGTCCTTCAGCACTAGGACAAGGGGACTGCCCTCAGGGCCCGGCTCCACCCAGCGGCTCACCTCGCAGCCCTTGATATCATACCTGAAGGTGGGGAGACAGGTTCAGCTTTGCATAGACAAGACACACAACAACTCCACAAGTTAGAAGACTTTCTACGGGGTGACTGTTGGTGTAGACACCAAACTCCTTACATACAGCATCTCTAAAACTCAGAACAACCCCAGTCTGCTAGTGGCCCCATGCTAGAAATGAAGAGAAGGGGTCTGGAGGGTTCCTCTGACTTCTCTGAGCCACACAGTAAGTAAAGACCAGAACAGGGATTCACACTCAGGCCTCTGGAAGCCCAGCCCTGATGTAGCTCATCTTGTAGCTGCTTCTTGACACCTGGTCAACCCAAGAGTGTCCCAGAAGCAGGGACATCACCAGTAGGGCAGGGGAAAGTCGATGGCTGTGGGGAACCTGCAGGCAGAGTCGGGGGGGGGGGGGGGAGCTGTATATAACTGGCTGGGTTTGGATCCCTGCTCCTCTTATTCATGGTATGACCTTGGCCTTCCTCAGTTCCTCAGCTATAAAATGACAATGGCAACACCTACCCCTCCACCTCCTTCTGGGAGTAAAGAAGATAATGAACGCAAGAGCTCAATACAGTGCCCAGAGCATACTGAGTGCGCAGGAGATGCAGGTGGCTGGTGTCACTGTCTCTGGCCCACCGGATCTTTGGAATGTCCCTTCTTCCTCGGCCTCGGTGAGTATGCTTTAGGTGAGGCACTCCAGGTGGCATCGTGGCCCTGTGCCTACTCCCGGCCAACTCACCTCTCGGAGATGCGGCCGGCGGGGTAGAAGACGCTCTGCATGATGATGAAGTATTTCTGGGGACAGGCGTGAGGAGTGAGGGAAGCCAGGACCTCACCTTCCAGCCGCCCTCCGCCCAGCCACCTTGTCTCGGCCTCACCCACCTTCTTTCCCTGGGCCACCCTCAGGCTGTGGACTCCTGGAAGGGGAGAGGGCGCAACATGAGGCCCCCAAGTTCCACACCCTGGGTCCAACCAGCCTCCACGCCAGCTCCAGGACTCCTCTTCAAAATTCGCGGCATCCTGAGCCCGTCCCTCCAGGCCCCGCCCCCAGACCCCTTCTCTGACTCGAGCGGGTGTCCCCACCCCAGACAAAGCTCCAGCGACGCCCCCACATGCACGGTCCCGGCACTCACCTGACTGTCCAATCCCAAGTCTGTGCCCTGGGGCCCCGCCCCAGACCCTGGCCCCGCCCCAGACCCTGGCCCCGCCCACAGACCCCAGCACTCGCCGGAAATTTTGCCCTCTGAGGCCCGGCCCCAGCCCGCGTACCCAGCAACCGGGCTAGCAGCGAATGCGGGTGCCGCTGTAGGTGCTGCACGTAGCGGGGCAGATGGGCGAGCAGCACCCTCACCTCCCGGCGCCGCTGGGTCTTCAGAAAGAAGCGCTGGTCGTGGCTGCGGGGTGGGGAGGGGGTGTCTCTGTCTCACCTGGCTGAAGAGTCTCCCACCCGGCCTCCTGCATGAGGCTCCTCCTCCCGGGTCTGGTCCTGTGGCCTCTCCGCCCACCCTGGCCCTCCGTCTTTCCTCCCCACATTAGACCTCCCCCTGGGCCTGATCTTCCCTGAGCTTGACCGCTGTTTCTCTCCCCAGTGGACTCTCCCCCTGCCCGGGGTGCCACCTCCACCCCGCTCCCACCCCTGCAGCAAGCTCACGACAGGAAGAAGCTGGCCTTGCTCTTAGAGGTGCTGAGAAACTGCAGGTAGGGGCCGCCGGGGCCCAGCGCAGCCTGATAGTCCTCTTCGGCTAGACCCAGGGAGCGCCGCAGCCGGGCAAAGGCTGGGCCAGCGAGGGTGCCCAGCTCGAAGCCCTGGGAGGGGAGCAGGGTGGAGTGGGAGTTGTGCGGCGGGGGGGGGGGGGGGTGTCACGCAGAAAGAGTAGCTTCCAGGGAGTCTCCGCTGGTTCAATTGTCCCTGCAAGGCCCTTGGAACCAGTCATCACTCCCACTGCACAGATGGGGAAACAGGAGGAGCCTGCGCAAAGACCAGGCAGGACAGGCCCTCTCCTGCACAGCAGTCTTGGGCTTCCTACCTCATGAACCTGGGTCAGGACCTCAGAAAAATCCTCCTGGGAAGGCAGCCCCTGCAGGGAGCAATAGAGGGTGTCAGGGAAGGTCAAGGCAAAGTCCCCCACTGCCTTCCCCAGGAGCTCAAGTGTCCTATACCTGGCCTTGCCCCCTGATCTCAATTTGATTTCTTCAGCAAACAGGGACCTGAAGTGTCCCTGTGTGTGACTGAATTGGACAGATGGACTGCCAGCACTCCCAGGACTGGAGGAAGGGCCTCTGTAACCCGAGGCAGGGTATGTCTAGTCCACTGCTGGGTCCTCAGCACAGGCTCTGAGTCAAGCATGGCACATCACTCAGACACAAGTGTTAGCCAAGTGAAGTCAGATTTCATCCAGTACAGAGAGATGGACCTGCCTGATACATCCTGGAAGGGGCAGGATCACAGAAGGTTTCCTGGAGGCTTCCTGACCCTAAGCTGAAATATGAAGGGTAGTGGAGAGGGTGCTCATGGCAATGCCATCATTGTGGAGCAGTGTGCAAGGGAGCAGGTGCACTCAGTAGCCAGTAAGGCAGAGATGGAATGAGGATGAGGTTGGACAGTTGACCCTTATAGACAGCAGGGTCTTGAGCCATGCCGAGTATTGGGGCCCTGTGGAAGATTTTCAGCTGGTGTAGAATTCAGATTGGGTTTAGACTCATTGGGGACTCTCCCTCAACCCCAGGTCTCTGTACCAGGCCCTGGCCATGTGATATGGCCAAACTGTGCACATGTGCACACACACAAACAACATACATGCTCACCCAGGCCTGCCCAGCTGCTGAGCTTGCAGCTGGGTGACCCTTTCTGCTGAGCCAGCATGGCCCCAGCATAAGCTCCAGGGAGGATGGGCTGGGCTGGCAGGGTGGGGGTGGGATCCCTTCTCAACTGTACACCCTGACAGGGAAGGGATGACCTCAGAAACCAGAATATAAATCCCTCCATCCATTATGCAGATGGGGGCACTGGGGCCTAGAGAAAGGTTGAGGCCCACTTAGAGTCTCACAGCAATCACTTCAGTCAAGGGGTCCCTACACCCCCAAGAACCTAGGATTTCCACCACCTCAGAATGTTCCTCTCTCCCTGCAGGAGGCACAAACCTGTCCCTTCCTCTGCTTAGCCCTCTCTAATCCTCAGTTCAGCAGAATTAGCAAGGCAGGCCATCATCCAGATCTTGCCCTTACTGTTGTGGGGTGCGTGAGACCGCCTGGCCATTTACCATGAGTGGGTGGTCTACAGAGACCTGGGTGGCTGCCCAGAGCCCTGCTTGCATCATACATGTCAACCCATGCAGCTCATGCCCTGGGCTGATCTCAAACAGACCCAGGCGTGATTGCTTGTCTCGAAGGCGCCAGAGGATGCCACGCCGGCTGGAGCTTGATGTGGCTGCTCTGCGTCCAGCCTCTGGGGAGGGGGCCAGGACCTGGTGAGAAGAGGCAGAGGAAGCAAAGGGCAGGTGAAGTCATCTCAGAGGAGAAAGACCCAGGTTTAATCCCACTTCCACTACTGTGAGTCTTCCTCTCGTCTTTCTCTGCCTCAGTCTCCTCGACTGTAAAATAGAGATAATGCTGTGCCCATCTCACCAGGTGTTGGCCCTCAGCATCCAAACAGAGCAATGGTTATCACAGGTAGAGCATGCGTTCTGCCGTCAAACCAAGCGGAAGCTGACATCCTTTCATCAATCGCCCTGGGTAAACCCCTGCCTCACTTTCCACCTGCAACACCACAACTATAGTAACTCCTGCGCGGCAGGTAGCAGCTGTGTTACTGTTGAGTTTGAGATCAAGCACAGGAAGCCTTGACAGCAGGAGCTGTGATGCCGGTGATTCAGTCACATATCTGCGCATGTATGCTGAGCTCCTCCAGGCCAGCGTGGAGGGTCAGCACGATGCTGAGATCAATACCAGTTGGCCCAACATGTGTCCAGCACTGGCTGAGCTGGACCTCCTAACAGCCCTATGAAGGAGGAGCTTTTGTCATCATCCCCATTTTCCTATAAGGAAACTGAGGAAGACCTGGGGAATACCCGCCAGATCACCCTCCTTCTTCATACCTGTACCTCATGTGGGGCGTGTCCTGGCCCTCACCCAGGGTAGAGCCCCTCCTTGACTGGATGGGGGCGTGTCCGCGTTTTGGGCTGAGGGGAGGCCCAACCCCTGCCCACCAACCGTTCCCTGTCTTCTCTCAGGTCCGCACCTACCTCGCGAGGCCCGGGGCTTGGTGCGGCCATCGCCCCCGCAGCAGCTTCCCGGGCTTTGGCCGCATCCCTGCCGCCCCGCTGCAGGATCCAGGCTCCGCCCCTGCCTCAAGGCTGACCAATCGCGCGGCACCGGCCTCGGCTGCGTCCAATCGGAGCGGGGGGCGCTGGCGATCGCCTGCAGGTCCCGCCTCTGAGGCTGCAGCATCTTTCAGACCGCGGTCCAGGAGGGGCGGGGCCGCGGGGCGCTAGCTAGGGTCCTGGTGAGCGAGGACCTCCACATTCCCTCCTGGGGTCTGGGATGCGGCTCTCCTGGGCCCATGGTGGGGGGGGCGGGTAACCTCAATCCTGCCCCGCCCACTCATTCAGTTGTGAAATTCCCATCAATTGTCTTTGAAGAGATGAAACTAAGATCCAGAGACTATCTCCAGGTCACACAGGAAGTCGGAGAATCCATTCACTCATCGCATATATTTGGAACACCCACTTGGGGCCGGGAACACGGCTAGGCCCCGGAAATTTAGTGGCAAGCAAGTGGGTAGAATACAGCCGCTAGTGTGATCTTTTAAAAGCATAAATCCGATGATGTCACTCTCAAGCTTAAAGCCACAATGGAACAACATTCAAACTCCTTGCCATCACCCCAGGCCTGTCTGTCTGCCCCAATCCAGACCCAATCCTAACTATCCTCCCTCTCCACCCCTCTCAGCCAGCCTCCTGGGTCCCTGCTGTTCCCCCACCAAACTCTTAGCTGGAGGCTTTTTCTTCCTCTGCTTAAAGTCCTTTCCCCCAGACTTTCACTTGCCTTGGTCCCTCTTGTCCCCTTGCAGGACTCAGCACCCCTCCCCACACTATTGAGCATGTCACCTTTATTTTCTTCATTTCCCTTCACACTGTGAGATTGTCTGGGTCATTTATTGTCTTATTACATTGGCCCCCTAGAGAATGAGTGCCACCCATGCAGGAACCACATGGGCCTCATTTCCTGGTGAGTGTCATCAGAAACTGGTGCTTGATGAGTATATATTGGACTCTTGTGAGTAGGGGTTGCAAAGGGCCTTGATGAGTCCCAGGAAGTGAAAGACCAGAGTGATTGAAGTGATTAGAGAACATCATTGGGCATGTAGGGGCTTACTGATGCGGTGGTTGACAGTGGTCTTGAGGAACCCGGAGAAGCATTATAAGTAAAGGCAAATGTGAGAAAGATGCTCAGATAAGCATTTTTTTTTTTTATATGTTAGGCAAGCATGCTACCATTGAGCTACATTCCCCAATCCCCCAGACAAGCATTTTATTTTTTTAGTTGTAGATGAACACAATACCTTTATTTATTTGTATGTGGTGCTGAGGATCTAACCCAGTGCCTTACATATGCTAGGCAAGCGCTCTACCACTGAGCCACAGCCCCAGCCCCAGCCCCAGATAAGCATTTTTGAAAGGACACTGGTATTATGTACAAATGCTCAATAAAAAAATGTGGAGAGAGGAAACAGGAAAGGACATTGGTTATTGTGCACAATCACATTGGAATGCAGGAGAGGGCAGTGAGGAAGCCTTCCCTGGTTTTGGCAGAGGATGGTATCTTGGCACCAGAAATATGGCTGGCTGGGGTGAGATTAGGGGAGGGAAAACTGGCAGAGGCTGGGGTTATGTGGATGCGGAGTTGGGAAGGAAAGCCAGGGTTAGGGACATAGAACATCAGTCATGAGAGGGACAGAACATGAAGGAAGCCAGATTTGGGGGAAGTGAGAATTCAGCTCATGATAGATGAATCTGGGGTCCCAACACAACCTCCAGCGGACAGCTAGGGACTAATGCATCGAGGCTGAAAGGAGAGCCAGGCCGAAGGCACCCCCTACTCACAAGGGTCCAATGTATACTCATCAAGCACAAGCTTCTGCTGGGCACTGACTGGGAAATGAGGCCTGCATGGTTCCTGCATGGGTGGCATGCCCACTCTAGGGGGCAATGTAATAAGCCAATAAGCGAACCAGGCAATCTCACAGTGTGAAGGGCGATGAAGGAAATAAGGTGATATGCTCAAGAGTGTGGGGAGGGGCACTGAGACTCTGCAAGGTGACAAGAAGAAAGGTGATGTCACCCAGGGAGGGTATGGGGAGAGAAGGCCTGCAACCCGACCCTGAAGAGCCCAGCATCTCATGGCAGAATAGAGGAGTATGAGGGCCAGAGACACATCAAGCAGAACAGTCGTCACAGACTGAAAGATGTCACAAGCTTAATGGAGCAGAAGTGTCCTTTGAATTTAAAGATCAGACATCACTGATAGCTTTGGTGGGTACAGTCCTCCTGGAGTGATGGGGAGAGACTGAGTACAGCATGAGGTGAGAGTGGGAGAGGGTGACCTGAAAGGAATCATCGGGTTGATGGAGGGTCCTGTAAGCGAGAGCCTGGAGCATGGTAGGACATACTGGGAGGAGCTGGTTACACAGACAGTTCCCAGAAGAGAGGGGACCATCAACGACAGGACACTTCTACTAGAGACAGGATCCAAAGCCCAGCGGGCAGCTCTGCCTGGCCTGGAGGATAGAGAGGGTGGAGCAGCTGAGGATGGGCCACTGTGTCTGCAGCTGGTCCCCTTTTCTCTGTGACAAGTGAGCACCCAAGGTTTGAGGGATGGAGGTTTTCCCTAAGTGCATCGGGGAGAGCTGAGGCTCAGAGGGGCTGGTGGGACAGATGGCCAGGCTGTCTCCTCTGCCATCTCATTCAACAGAACACCCAGTGAAAGCAGCCTGCCACAGCCACACTGACTTGGGCTATTGGACGCAGGAGATGGACCACAGACTGGGGCACTTAGGGGAGTGACCCAAGGGTCCCTAAAATATTAGACCATATTAAATTATTAGACCATATTAAATTAAAGTATTAGAGGGGCATGCCTTTGCCTACTCCCCAGCTGTGAACTCTAGCAGTCAGAACTACATCTGTCCCAGTTCCTGCTTTAGCCCATAATCAGCACAGGGACAGTGCAGAGCAGGCACAGCACAAACCCGGGTCTCCTGATTAGAGACCAATGTAGGACCAGCCCCAAGCCCCTCCATCCCCGCTCCCCTAGTCAAGGAAGACAGAGAGACAAACATACCATCAACATTTATTGTTGAGTTCTCCCAAACAGGCCACTCTGGGCCAGGAGCCTGCTCTTCCTAGGTAAACATGGCCTGGGGGCCTGGGGTGGCTGCCTTAATGTGTCCCAGTGCCCTGGGGTCTTCAGGCTTTCCCCAGGGCTTTCCAGGTCCAGATGTCCTTGTGGGGTCTGGGCTGTGTCCGACTCAGAAGCTGCCTTTGGGGAGCAGCAGTGCTCAGGGGACACAGGGAGAGGCCATGTGCTTCCTCACACCCTGCTAAGTCCCACGTCATCAGCATGTCACTGGAGGGAAATTGAACAAGGAGGTGGAACCCAGAGGGAAAAGGGATGGTCTGAGAGTGAGGCGGGCAGGCCCTGAGACGGAAGGGAATGAAAGGGAGGCTTCCAGGTCTTTCTCCCTCCTCCTGGCTTCTGGAAGAGTGAGCAGGAGAGGCTTGGTCTGCCTGAGCAGCTCCATCCCTAAGAGGGCTGCATGGCAGCCAGGCTGGAGGGGCTGCTTCGCCTGGACTGTCCTACAGGCTCTGACCCTTGGTCCCTGCTCTGGAGGGGATGGACGGAGAGAAGATGCCGGCAGCCTCCTCTCTTTTGTGCCTTCACTGAGCCTTCTTGGTCACCCTCTGGTTCTTCAGCATAATATAGGTGATGAATAATCCTGGAATGTATGGACCAGAGAGACCAGCTGATACCATGCTGGTGGTGCTGGGAGGCCAGGGCAGGGTGAAATGACCACATGGAGAGTCATGTCCCTGCCCAACCACCCCCAGGCCAGCTGCTCATGTTCCTTCCCGTTCGTTCATCAAACCACAAATCCACTCATCCATTCAACAGTTACGGTGAGTGCCTGCCACAGGCAAGATGCTAGCTCCATTTAGTGCTTTAGATTCCATGGCCAAAATGAGGTCCATGTGTTACTCCCCTATTCATGCCCCTGCCCTCCTACTACCTGCCCACCACCCACCGGTTCATTAATCCCATTGTCCAGTCATCTGTTGATTGACTCTAAAGCACCAACTCAGTGTCACAGCCTGTGCTGGTGCTGAAGACACAGTTCCTTTCCCAAGGAAGCCATGAGAGGTAAAGAGATGCAGGATCTATGATCCAGGGCAACAAGAGGGTGGGAAGTGACTGAGGTGTGAGCCAAGTGATGATGGTGGAGGGGAGAGGAAAAGGGAGACAGTCAAGTCCTTAGTCCCAAGAGCCTGAGGCATTGGGAAGACCAGAGAAGTTACTGACTTGTGGCCTAGAAACCTCAGGGAAAGTAGGGGTCCAGAAGCCTCAAGCAGATGTACAATAATAATTGCCAAAGTGTGAAAGCATGTCAAGGGTAGGAGAGGGTGGTGGCAAAGGTGACATCCTTCCCAGGATTGGGGCTGATGACTTACCCACAAACAGGAGCAGCAAGAGACCCGCGGCCAGGGGGATGGCAACAGCATATGCTCGAGGGAGGAAGAACTTGTGGATGACATGCTCATTGTCGATGAATGGCTGGCATGAGGGGCAGAGCTCTGATGAGCACGGCTCACCCTGCCCAGCCCCCAAGCCCAAACATCCCATCTCCTCCAAAGGACTGACTCCATTCAGAGCATTGGGAAAGCATTTGCTTTTCTTTAAGATGATAGCATTTTGGGTGTTGCTGTTTCTTCCTCTGATCATTTAAAAGTTGTTTGCTGAGCACTTGCTCAGTGCCTGCGCTAGGTTAGTGCTGGGGAGCCAGCAGTGAACAGAAGACAAAGGACCTGCCCTAAGAGAGTCTAGCTACGGGCCTCACCAGAAATTCCCAGTCTGGGTTCCCAGGTCGTTTTTACTAATATTTTTTCTCTACAGGATATCAAGTTATGAAAGAGTTTGTCTTCCAAACACACTGCACTTATTAAGCAGATTTTTCCATTTGAAAACAAAACAAAACCCCCCTAAAGTCCTCATAAAACCC